ACGCAGACAGAGAAAGCTTCACCCTGCAGAAGACAGTTCCTTATTCAGCCTCTCCAACTATAATTAAATTATAGATAGCAAACTAAGTTATTTAGTGCCCCTATTAAAGATGCATGGGTCCTGCCTTTTTTTGGCATATGTCTGAGGAGGAACAGCATCGAGGCAGGTAAATGCTGCTTTTCCTGGGATCTTGCATCACGCTGATGAATAGTGATGAACGTGCTCCGTCGGTTTTGGACATGAAAGGCCAGCAGATAACCCTGAGCTGCAGGAACTTATGCGCTTTGTTTGCAGCAATTTTGCTTTGTTTTTAATGCATATGTATGGTCCCTGGCTGCTTCGCTGAGTAGGTATCTCCGGGCTATTTTCACCCATTATCCCCTCTGAACTAAGATGATGTGATCTCTGCGGCCCGCACTGAAACTGGGGGTGGGAAGGGAGAGCCGAGCCCCGATACACCAGCGACGAGCCGGGCTTGTGCTGCGGAAACTGCCCGGGGCTCTCCCAGGTTTCACGGCCAGGCTGGGGGAGATCGGAGGGTTTGGGTGGGAACCAGCCTCGCACCTTGGGTATCTCCAGCATAAACAAAACCAGCCCGCAGAGCTGCGTACATTCAACTCCATGTTTGCTCCAACTAGGAACTTCATTTTTTGCTGGGGGACTGGGAAAGCACCAGTTTGGTGCTGTGAGACAGGACCCCTCTGCTCACCTCGCCCCTCTAGCAGGAGCACGGCTCTGCGGGACGGGGCAGACCGGGGAGCACCAGCAGAAACCCGGCTTGATGCCAGGGGAGGTATCTTTGTGACGGGGGACGGGGACCCGATTCGAGTCCGAGGTTAAATGGGTCTCCGGGAACTCGGCCAAGGGCCATCGTTTGGCTCCCTCCTGGAGGAGGCAGCTGTAGGTGCTCAAGGTTGTAACAGGCTGCGGCAGTTTCCCCCTGTCCCAGGGGAGCTCACACAACCCCGGCCACCCGCACGGCGCAGGGTACGGACACAGCGCTCAGCGAGGATCTCCATAAAGCCATCGCTTGCGGTGTGGTGCCACTGGTATTCCTGCAGGCATCCACAGCCTGAAGAGCTGGAGATGTCGAGGTGGACCAGAAAAGGACTGCCTTCTCTTTGGTCACCTCTGTTCTGCCCCAGGCTCTGCCAACCTTCCCCTCCCAGCCCAGCTGCCCTGGGAGCTGCTGGAGGAGAGCCGACCCAAACGCCATCAGTCCCTCGCTGCTCCGCTGCCTGGCAGAGAGGAACGCCCGGGTAAAAGCCCGGCTAACGGGGGAAGCGGTCTCAGGATGCTTGCAAAAGTCCAGGCTGATTAGAAATAGCACAGGGCAGCGGTCAAAGCCCCTGAGAGCGAGCAGAGATGCCTTGCTCATTGCCAACAGGTCGAGGGGATGTCTCTGCTAACCTTTGCCCCAAATCCCGTTGTTTAGAGCTGCGGCACTACGATGGCTTTGACCTGCAATCTCCAGCAAGATGTCCATGCTGGGACCTTTCTTGGCAAGGTCCGGGTAAGCTGAATTCCCTGGGGACTCCTTGCCCACGTTGAGCCCAGAGCTGAGCTCCCCTTCCCGGGGTGGCCGCCCAGCCCAGCCCAGCCCAGCCCTGCTGGGACGAGCACCAGGGTATCCATTTCCACACGAGCAGATGCCCCGAGGTGCTGCGGGATGTGCAGACCAGCAACAAAAAAATTTAACTTCAGATGCTAGTGTGTTAAAAACCCTTGCTATGAAGTTTTTGGGCTGAGGATAGGAAGGCAAGAAGAGTGATGCAAGCCTTTCCGCAGGGCTGTACGTCAGCGGTGTCTGTGGCCCAAGCCCCGCAGAAAGCAGTTCAGAGAGGGGAAATGGCAGCCAGGGGCTTGAAAGCCAAATCCTCGGGGGTAAGGGGCTCTGCTCCCAGCATTGTGCTGCGAACTGATGGTGCAGCTGGCCCAGCGCCATAAAGCCGATGACTGCTTTCACCAAGAGTCAGACATCACTGAAGTCTGTTTAACATAACTTTCTTCTTTTTCCCCTAAGAATTAAGACTATAAAGCCATGTCCAAACCCCAGTGCCTGCCTGATTCCCACCCACATTCCCCTCGTACCCCCTCCCCAGGGACCAGAATTTAACTCCGCTTTAACATCACTGGAGTCGATCCAGACAGCGTAAGGGGGCTTGGTGCCACCACGGTGCCTGTGCACTTCTGCCCGGGGCCGCTCCTCCTCCCGATGACAATTCAGCTAGCCTTGGGCAGAGATGGCAGGAGCGTACGCGATGGGTATGCAAACACGCAGTCTGCCAGCGATGCGTCTTTGCTTTTGTTGTGTGACCAGAGCAGCATTCGCTCCTCTTGCCTCGGTGAAGAGGGGGGCACCGAAACTCCCCAGCACTTCATGGTAACAGCACATTCGTTATGGCCGATTCCATGGACCAGTGTTATAGATCTCCCTTATTAACCAGGCTGTTCTTCAGGACTAATGATAGCGTAATGAATACATCCACGCTGTAAAATACAATGTGCCTGCCATCAGGCAAATGCATAATGGGGAAATTTGTGACTGTAGTTCATGTTTTCCAAACACAACCTGACTTCTGGTGGACAAGCAGCACAGGTTGCTCCGCACGTCTGCTTCTCAGCGTTATTCATGTAGGTCACATCCATTTGTAAAGCTCCGGGGGCTCCCTGGGGACCCTGGCCGTGCTGGTGAGGAGCGTGTACGGCTCTTAGCAGTGTGTGAGATGTGCTGGGAGGGGCCAGGCTGTGCTGGGGGAACGAGTGCCGCCGAGCCGCCGTGTAGCTGAGCGCTGCTTGGAAAGTAGATGAGCTTGGCAGCGCCTGGCTCAGCCACGGGGGCTCATCTTTTCCAAACGCACCAACAGACTGGAAGGTCACACAGCTACTTGCAGTCACAGCCCATGTGGTTATTGTCTCTATTTCCTATACAGTATGGGGGGCCAAATCATCTACCCCTACAGCTGCAAGGATACGATGGCACAGCTTTGTGCGTGGACACGGGGTGGGGGTCTAGCAGAGGCAGTGTGCACGCTGTGCCCTGACAGGGAGGTGCTGTGCTGCTGCCACCGTGTACCGATCACCGCCCTGGGCAGTGACCCACATCAGCTGGCCATGCTGGAGCAAGGGAATTCAGCCAGCATCCATTCTTGAAATTTGGGCTGGTTTTGATCAAGTGATGCTGCTTCAGACTGAAAAGAAAGATGGGCAGGACAGGGCTTCTCCAAAGAGTCTGTGTGCTCAGTTTTCAAATCTGTAAGGTGACAGACACGGGGCCTGTAAGGTGACAGACATGGCCTCCTGGCCGGCTGTCACAAACAAAGCGTGGTTTACCAGGCTTTGCTCTTAGCGTGCCAGCTCCTGTCCTCCACAGACTCAGCGGGTGACTGCAGCCAGGTGAGTCAGGACAGCCTGTCTCGCTTTGCTGCCTCCGAGCCGTGAAGAACCAGCTGGTGCAGGAGCAGCGCGCAGGGCTGTGGTCCTTATACCCCGGGAACAGCCACACGGAAACAGGACTTGGATTCTCCTCCCACCTGTAATGACAGGTTTGGCGTGATCTGATGGGAACGGAATCGCTCTGCGGGACAGTTATCTGCATCTCAAACCCATGCACCTCGAGAGCACAGGGAGCTGGCGGTGACGTGGGTCTTCGGGACGTTCGCTCTCACAGGCTCCGCTTCTGTTTTCATTCCCCTAGCAAAAGCACAAATGTTTTGCCTGTCTGTCCCACATTCCAGTGGTTTGATCCTGCCTTCCAAACCACAGCGAGCATTGCTGCAGAGCTTGTAAAACCTGCTGGAGTGTTTATCGCTGCATAGCATCAAGGCTTGACTCCAAAGGAAAAGAGGAAGGAATGGCTGAATTCCTTTACTCAAGACTCCATTAATAAGAGCAGAGATATTTCAACCAGAAGGAATATGACTTGCATGGTGTTTGATGAACAACAGAGGTGCACAGATACCCTGCAAGCCAGTCCAAGAGGATCCACCCGCACTGTGCTATGAGCAGTAAATGTTTTTAGTGGCATATAACGAATAATAAGCAATCATACCTTTAAATTCCTATCCTCCGTTGCCTTCCAGAACAGCTAATGCCATCAATCCGTGTATGACTGTATGTAGCTGACACTGCCTTTAAATCATTGTCTTAGTTATCTAAAATGTCTGTAAGCCTTAACATTAAGGAATGCAACGTTTTGCTACCGTTTGAGTATATGGCAGGATTCTCATAGGCCTTCAATGCTCTAAAAGAAATATTTACTTCACTTGCATCACTTCAGTGCCTACACCCATCTTTAAACAGACAGCATCTTGAGAGCTGTTGGGTTTAATACCAGATATGATACCGGGTACTCATTCTCAGATTAAATACATATTTCATGCAAATTTGGAGCCCGTTTGAAAAATTAGGCCAGTGACCAGGAATTTGAGTGTGTCTAGCTGGAAACATCCAGGCATTTTTAGAAATGACTGCGCTCTCACTCTCGAAAACCAGGCCCCTGAAGAGAGTTTTAAATTGGACACCGCAAATGAAGAAGCCCTGACATCCTTGTATTCCTCTGAGAACACTGATTTAAAAGCTTGACTCAAAAGAGCTTCCCAGTTAAACGCCTGAGTTGGAGCTGAGGGCTTTTTCCTTAATCAGGACCAGACAAATTAAAATGAACACAGAAGACTGAATTTACACAACAAGTTATTCATTAAAGGAAGGGACAGAAGGGGGTAGGGAAGAGAAAGAGAGACCACGTGAAAGCAAGAGAGAGCCCACAAAAATGAGCAGACATAGAAGTAAGACTATGCTAAGACACTATCAGGAAAGGTGCCAGTAACAACATGCAAGCGTTATAACAACAGCCAAGATGATTTTCAGAAGTGATGAATCCTTTCACACCAATCTAAAAGGAACAGCAAATACTTAGCCCCTCTGAAAAAAATCAGACCTATTTATTCAGTGCTAGAAAGGATATCTGAAGGATCTGGTAAACGCATAGCAGAGAGTATAAAAATAGCATCTCCTCTAATAGTACAAATGCTTTAAAACAACCTCAGTGGTAAGAGAAAAGGATTGCTAGGACTGGCTGAGGGAGTAGCAGCCTAGCAGCTCCTGTGCCAGCTGTTAGTGCAAGCCTGGGTATTTCCAGAGCAGGATGGCACCGTCTGCACTCACACTCACGATGTACTTCTTCCCAGGGCAGATCTTGAGGCAGGTGATGTGGCCACCATGGCCCCCTCCAACATGAGTCACTGCACCCTCGTTATAGTCCCACAGTTTCACCAGATGGTCATCACCACCTGCATTGGGCACAAAGGAAGAACAAACCATTATCCGGAGTTCTGTTTGTTCCCAGATCGCAGGCAGGGGAATACTTAGGCATTCATTTGATTCGAAAAGAGTGGGGTACATTGTCTTGGGCGTTATGACAAAAACTACTTCTTTTCAACTGAAGTAGAGAGTCAGTGTCCAGAAGAGCGTTCAGGACCTCCACCAGCAGATCCCAGTGAGCTAGCAATGGCCAGCAATTGGTACCAATAATACTGAGTGTCTTCAAAAGGTTCTTAACCAATACTTGTTTAACCAGGTTAATCTAAAACAACTGGTGCTGACACCAAATCTGTGTTTTTTAACTGTAGCCAAGATATACAGTACCATGGCTCCTCTGTGCTAGTGCTAGGATCCCAGAAGAGATGTCACGATGGTGGGGAACATGTGAGCCTGAGGCTGGATGGAGCCTGGAGCCATTCCCGCTTGCAAACCGACAGAAACTGCCAGGCTTCTGTTGTAGGAGACTTGAACAAATCATTCCAGTGCACAGTGAACACCACTGAACTAAATGAGGGGCAGGGCAAGGTGAAACCCTGTATTCTTCTCTTGGAGACATCTGAACCGTGTCTTTACCTTTACATTACATCCTGCAAGACTGAACCATAGTATCTTCCAAGTCTGAACCACAGCCTTTTTCTAAGCATTTTTCTTCAGTCATTAATTTTATTTTCCCCTTTAGCTGACCCCTCCTTCTAGTTTTTCCTTTCTTTACTGAGACCCTTGGTTCACTGCCTTCCTTTGCCTGCTCTCAGTATGACCTCCTCTTTTCTAGTTTTCTCCACCCACTCACCTGTGACAAAGTACGCCCCATCTGATGTGATGTCCATCCCATTGATAGAACCTGATACAGACCCTTCCACTTCTCTGATTGCAGAGCCATCAAACACTTCCCAGTATCCAATCTAGAGAGCAGACCAGAGAGGAGAACTCAGTCGTGCATCCACAGCACGCACATTTCAGCACTGCCCTGTAACACAACCTTCTATGGAAGTTCAGGAGCTTCACCACATAACAAGCCTCAGACTTTGTGTTTTGGAATTTATTCCTGCAGTTTTGCTTACCTGTCTGTCTGTTCCACTGGTGATTATCTGGTACTCTTCAGGATGGTAACACACACATTTGAACAACGTGTTGGCTAGAATCATTTGTTTTCTTGTAAAACGCCTGCAAAACACCTCCCCAACAGGATAGAGCAATAGGGTCAAAAACCAGACTTTGACTGCCTGAACTATCTCTGCCTGTGCTATGCATCAGATCTCTCTTTCTACTTGGCTATTTTCAGGTACTGGTCTGAGTTCAGGGTTTCAGAAAGCCAATTAGGGTCATTAGTTCTGTTCCCCACCACAGCTGCCTTGTAAGACTTTTGATCTGCTGTCATATGAAATGAATTTTTTTAATCCAGAATGCTTTCTAGGTGCTATTTACTATGCAAAAATTTCCTTATGCTTACCACAATGCAGAATGTCTGCAGATCTGCCATAGCTCAACAAGAGTCATCAAGTGCTGGAAAACGGAACTAGTGGGAAACTTTGGGAATCATCCGCTCTACCTCCTTGGCCAAGCAGGATCCAATACAAGAAAACGACTTGAGACGAACATTTGTCTAAACTTTTCTGAAAAGCTTCTAGCATTGGAGGTTCTACATTCCCTGACTTGACTGTACTTTCTAGTATTTTTTGTTTCCCAATGCTCTTTTTCCCCTCCTCCTCACTCTGTGGTGTCCCAAATAGGACGCAGTGACCCAACAGAGACATTACCAGCACTTTCAGTGCCTTGCAATACTTATCTGTCTCCTTACACAATATCCCAGATGATGCACGTTCCGTCAAGGCTGGCTGTGACACATTCTCGGTCGTCCTTCTTAATCTTAATGCAGGACACAGCAGCTACGTGCTCCTTCAGAACCTCCTCCAGCTTCTGAGTCTTTTTGCCAATCTCCCAGACCCTCACCTGAAAATCAGTGACAAATATCTGCTCTTGTACGACCTGGTCCTGACTGAGCTCAGGAGGATGCCTACAGCTTTCCTGAACTCTGCCTTTCTCTTATAACACATACTGAAACTCAACGGACTGTCTCCATTTTCCTCTGGGTTATTTGTGCAGCTGACTTGTAAAACTAAACGGAGTTCTTGAGTTGAACCACTTGGTTCAGGAATTCCTGACCATTAACCCCAGACCTTGTTTTTGCCAAGTTCCCACTCTCCCATGCTTCAGTTTACTCATCTCTTGATCAGGAAAAAGCATCCAGTCCATGATATATTTCCAGCGGTGCTTTTAAGATCAAAGAGCAAGGCTTCTGAAATGGAATATAAAACAGCTACCTGCTATTTGTGCTACATATCATGTCAGTAAGTAAATACAAACCAGCTCTTTAAATCTTTGATGTGAAATATGTGCCTGAAAGCACCCCTTTTCCCAGTGGTGGTAACAGCAAAAATCAATCTGCTTTGAGGACTTGATCCTTCACATCTTGCATTTACTGTCCCACTAGTGCCAAACTTCATGGTATCTATTCGCTTTTACATCCTGCTAGGGTCAAATCCTGGTGAAAATTTAGAAATGTAGACACTGACATCAATAACAGAGAGCTGACCTTCCATGTTTACAAGTCTGATGCCAAGTTACCTATGGGATCTGGATGTCCAACTCCCACTTGCTAAATGATCAGAGCATCCAGATCCCTTAACCCCAAAAGTCACAGCTTTCAGATGACTGATTTTGACAGAACCATTAGCATTTCAGAACACCTTTTTTTGTGTTCGGAATGAATACTGCAAGTGCTCCCCTGCAGTTCTCATTTCTACTTAACCAACCTTTAGCTTTCATCCTGTCTCAGCTGTCTTTTTCAATTCAGAGATCGACTAACCAGAGCCTGTGCCGTTCTCTGTGTGTTGATACAGAATCTAGGTCCTTCACCTTCTCCATCCCCTAGCTAATCATCCAAGGCACTTAACTGTTCTTTTATTAGCGAAGGGTTGAAGTGGCTCATCATGTCTTATGTCTTTATGCAGCGAGATAAGGCAGTACTGCCAGTACTGCTCTACAGGAGGGCTGCGGTGCAGAATGATTCAGAAATTCAATGATTAGGGCATTAGCCTGAGATTTAGAAGACCTAAGTTCAGTTCCTCACTCTTCTAGACTTCCCGTGCAATCTCCAGCACGGCATGCTGAACACTTGAGATCCGGGTACTCAAACAGAGTGGTTAAATCAGAGTCAGGAATCCACGCACACTTACTGTCTGCCAGACTGCAGAGAGGAAGTCCAAAGCAAGGCAAGAAACTGAACACGAGCCTTTCAAATCTAATTATTTATTTTTAATATAAACAAACCCCCTGTGTTTAAATTATATAAACATTAGGAGTGTCGCTTTTACAGATTGAAAAGGGCCACAACTATATGAAGTGCATGGAGTAGCTAAAGTACATGGGGTTTGTTTCGTATGCCAGAAAAGAATTGTTGAACTGCACAGGTATGATGCCTACAACGTATTTTCTGATTTTTATTGTTCCTTCTATTGGAATGTTTCCATAATTGTATTAGAAACTGAGTTATTATTAGAGTCTTTTATTAACACCATCACCTAAACCAGATAGTACCATCCCAGAAAATGAGGAAGTTACCCCGTAGACACTATAGCGCTATGAAGAGAACTTTGTGCTATTAAATGAATTCATACAGGTCCATTTGGCTTCCAAAGCAATGACAGAAAGAAGATCTGAGCTAGAGACTGTTAGACAGAAGCTTGCAAACAATGACTAATGCAGATAAGCCAAATACAGGGGAGAGACAAATGAACAAAAAGGATTAAGAGCATATTCTGCATTAGAAGGATTTCCAAGCCTACCATGCCAGAAGAAATCGGGGCATTGTTTTACATTATGCCCTCTGAGAGCAAGAGATTTGCATGTATCAAAGGGTAATATTTTCGAACTCAGTCCTTTGCCCAAGTGAAAGCTAAGAATAGCTCACTTTGTGACTAAGCAGTTGCAGACAATTCGCAGGCCCAGTGATGAGAGCACAGAGCTGCTCCAGGTTTTTAAGCAAAAATTACCTGCCCTTCACCTCCTCCACTAATGATCCGTTTACAGTCACTTGTAGCAGCAATTGCAGTCGCTCCCAAGCTATGGGCGTGGTTAATGACATACATTAGCCGTCCAGTCTCTGGCGTGAAGGCGCGGATTTTCCCGTCATTCCAAGCTGGTGAATATAAAAAACCATTACCCAGGCGCACAGATTTTCCTCATATTATTGTCTCTCTTTCCTTTCCAAATGAATCCGTTTTTTATTAAGTTCCTATATAAGCCCCACCCTGTTGGATCACCCATATACACGTGAAAACTGCTGTACTGTAGATGAGTCTGCAGAGCTATAGTCCCAAAGAAACTATTAAAATTTAATTCCTTTTTGATTCTGGCTATGGACAAATTGGTTTGGTTACAACAGAGGGACTGCACCACTGCTCCAGGACTGCAGTCGTTCCTGTGTAAGCAATTTGCATATGGTGACGGGTAGCAGCTTTATGCAAAAGGTGCTTTACATACCGCACAGGTTAAGCTGTTGCATACAACAAGGTTAATATTTTAGAATTAGGTTTTTTGAATAAGACTGAACCACATTCTGAATTGCTGGAATTCACATCCAAAGCAAGGTCTCACAACTGTGCCTTCCACGTACACCGTAACTACAGCACCAGGACACTGGGGGCTGTGGGCAAAGTTCATCGGACCAGCTGCAAGCAAAGAGGCCTTTGGGTCAAGCGATGAACTAAATTTAAACTTAATCCTCTCTTCATTCTAACATACTGATGTTTATTAAATTTGACAACACCTGAAGACTGGTCTCAACCATGGGTCTGGCCTGACCGTTACCTGAAATGATGCTCCTGCCGTCCCTCATAAACTCTATGGCATGGCAGGTCACGTTGGGGATGACGATTCGTAGGAGCTCCCTGTTCTCTGGGGTGTGCCACACTCGAATATCATTTTGGGAGCAGGTAGCGAACAAGTTGGAAGTTTCCCTGGAGAATTCAAAGAGGAGAGATAATGAGGAGGGGACACACAGAAAATGCCTCTTTCTTTGTCAGATCTCATCCTTTGAAGCTTAGCTGTTTCTAACATGTAATCTTCCCAATTGGGATCACCGCGGTTAAGACAAAGGATCACCTTTCTCACATAAATTTCCCCTGGGCTGGTTTCTACTCAAAGATTCATTTTAAGGAACATTGAAAGTGAAACTAAAAGAATTCTTTCTACTTTTTTGGAAGTTGTGACATTTATTTCCCATATTCAATCTCTAAACAACTTCACGTGTTTTATATAATAGACACCAAAGTGAGTGTAGAGGTGCTGACTGCCCAGATTTAACATTGAGGACTAACAGCAGCCTTATATTGTAAAGATGTCATTTTTTATCTTGCTTACTGGATGATTCCTATTCAACAGCGCCAAAGGCAATAGAAACGATGGCAAAAGCCTGTTCATCATATACTTGTTATACATGTTTGAATAAAAAAAGACCTGCAGCATTTCAAAGGCTATGGGACTGAAGGCTTTGAAACAAGCTCTAAACCATACATCCTAGGGATATGACAGCTAGCGAAATCTAGAAAGGTACCACGGGCTTTTGTTCAGCATCACCATCAATGCCCGGAAAGATGAACCAGGACAGAGAAAACTGGCACAACAAAAGCACGGCCCCTTTCAAGCCCAGCTTGCGCGAGTGCTTTATAAAGCAGGATAACATCAGCAACTGAAGTGTTCTGAAATAAGTCAGAACAGGGGAATTAAGCCTGTATTTCCCAATCAGTGATATGCTCTGCTCAAGAGCAGTTAACGTGTAAGAAGTTTAAACATATATGCAAGGATGTAGTCCTGTAGTTCTTGCAATCATCACTAAATCCAGCTCATCCAAATACCTGTGACGCAGATGTGTCAGTCAGGTCTATTAGCATGAGATTACCCTAAAGCTCCAAATGATTTTCTCATTAAATTAGAAGGATGTGGATTTTTCAGGCTGGTGACAAGCAGGGAGCAGGGCTTTGTGCATTGTGCACTTCGCTGTACCTCGGTAAGATTTGGTCCTTTGTGCCGTGTCAAGAAGCGGTGCAATAACAACATGCCAAAAATAAAAATTTTCATTGGGATCACACTCCCATTCTCTGTTTGGAGAGGAAAGAAACCATCCATTGTGGGTTGTTTAAAAACTAATGTGTCACAATCCTGCTGTACAGGAAGAGGGACTGTTTGCTGTCTGTTCACAAGACAAAAGCAGACAGAAGACGCACCAGTATACCCAGCATCTCTCGACACAATCCTAGAATTTAATATAACATGCCATGCTGTCAAACATGAAATAAGTGAGGCTGAGAGACCCAAAAAGCCTCTTTGAACGACTCTGTTAGTCAAGTTTCAGGTGATGTTACAGGTGGGTAGAAAAGCAGATGCCTCTACAAGCTCTAGCTGCAACAAAAGCAGACTTTCAGGATTTCCACTGCTGGCAGACTACGTGGCCCGAGTCTCGTAGCACCAGCCCTAGGAGAAAAGGAGGAGGTCGCCATCACTGCTGTCACCCAAACATAAATAATTTGAGTCTTTTTTTTTTCAAATTCTTTCTGTAGATCGATGATTTTTTTCCAATTCTCAAACTGAACTGCCGCCTTCTGCTTTCAAGCAGCTGCTCACCGTCACCCTTGCATTTCACTGGTAGATGACAGCATTGCCTGTATAAATCATCCCATAAGGACGTTCATAGGCTTTGGGTTCCCGTTGGTTAAAAGGTGTTTACGTAGGTATCCTGACCTTATTGGCAGCTTACTCAAACTTCTTCACCAGCCAAAAGCATCCCAGCCAGTTATACTCACAAAGGAAAAACGATGTCGTGGACGGCTTCGTTATGACAGGTGGTGATCAGCTCCTCTTTAAACGCAGTGTAGTTAATTTGATAAATCTGGCACTGATTTGTCCCGACAAAGAACTGGTGACCGTGACCTCTACATGTCAGGGATGTGACGGCACCTTGAACTTGAATTTTCCTGTTAAGAGAAAGCAGAGGTTTGGCCTGACAGTGACCCCGAGATACTTATTTGCCAGCTTCTTTTTTCCCCGACTTTATAAAGTCATGACTTTCCCTGCTTCCCCAAAAAGCTCCATTTTAGGCTGTGATATCAATACGCAAGAACGCGGTCAGGGCTAACGTTTCATTCTCAGTCTCACGCTAATACTTCATATGATCTTGCCTGTCCCACCTGCTACTCTGCCAGGGCTTGCAGAGGCAATGCTTTGGAGACTTTGTTTTCTGGACCAGGGCCTAAGGTAACAGCATCTTTGTTGATATTCTTGCTCAAGTGCACTTAAATATCCCATATTCAAGAATATTTCCAGACGGTTTAGATCTTCTGGGAATAGATTCAGTTGCACAAAGCTAAGCTTGCAGAACTGTATACTTAGGTTGGCTACTCAAACAATGCAAAAGGAATAGCTGCGAGCCTGATTTTCAAATCACATACAGGGAAATGATGCCTACAGCTTTCTATTTTGTACGCAGAAAAAAGCTTTGCATGTACTCTGGCACTTCCAAACACGTGTCTATAAAATTAGTGGAGCACTCCTTTACAATCCCATGTCCTCCAACAAACCCTTTTTTAGATGGCATATACTACTCTTTCTCAGCTGGTGTAAATAAGCATAATTTTACTGCCTTCAACAGATCTGTCTCACTTTCCATCAGTTTAGGATCTGACTCCTAATGCTTCAAAGGAAACAATGGTCATTTAAAATGAATGATGAGTAGGGGAATTCACTTCTGTGCAAACACACGCAGTAATTTTCAGCCTGCTTCAACTTCATTACACTGGAACCATACCGTCTATTTTGTCTGCAGGATTGAAAAACTGAGATTTATTTGGATTATGCCTTTACGTAGAAGTGATTTCTTCTTCTACTGTGACCCTCTGGGGGAATTATCACCTCTCCCCTCCTGATTCTCCCATCTACAAACTCACTTCATTACTTTGTAGTTTGAGCCTTTACAGAGAGCTACAATCCCTCCTCCGGTGCCGACTATTAAATCTCCTCTCTTCAGCAAAAGCAAAGCTGTGACTCCCTAGGAGAAAACAGGATTAAACCACAATTGGATGGAAGCAGAGTCTCTTTATTGCTGCAGTCATGTTGAATAGCACAACGGAGTCTGTATCGTGCTCCCAACGGCGGTGCTTATGTCACTGAAATACGGTTTATCAGTTTTCTTTGACTGACCTAGGCTAAAGAGTGACTCTCTAGAGGGAGAAGGGAGAAAAGAGTTATTAATTGCAGGTATATATGAACTAGTACAGTATGAGGAGCAAGCAAACAGCATCTTCACAGATCCTTCAGAGCAGCTGGGAACACATATGAGCCTACATATCCTTACCTCATTCCAGCAAGCAACACAGACATTTTGTATTAGTGCCTCCACTTTTCCTTCCACTGGTTCTTCATCTATCAGACATGAAAACAACAGAGGATAAAACTCAGCCTAAGCATCCTTTCCTACAGCTGCTTTTAGGACAGATCCTCTGTGTCCTAGGCCTGTCTCTCCATCTGAAAGATGGAAACTCATCTCCCACCTATTAGTAATAAAAGACAGTTGTCACAGAAAAGCTTTGGAAATTAGTCAGCTCATCATCAGCATGGGTTTTGCTGTTTACTAAGATGAGTAGATCAACAGGTCAGCCATTAGAAAAAGGAGAAATGGTTTTCCATGGGTAAAGTACCAGACTACAGTAAAAAACCCAACACGCAACCAAACAAAACCAGCAAACAAAACCAGTCCTTAGCCTTGCCACAAAATGTCAAGTATAAGAAAAGTCAGTCTCTGCTTCAGTTCTACTACCTGTGAAGTAATACTGCACTCCTGTACACAGGACAACAGATCAATTCTTGAGAATCTGAGACAGCCCAAAATAGGCTGCAAGAGTGGTGCAACTACTTCTACAGGGTTAAATCCTCACATTTTTACTCAGAAGAAGATTCCTACTAGCTTGGGGGAACATAGGCATGAGTGAAATGGAAAGAAAAAAGAAAGAAAGGAAATAAAGGAGCTTTATGCCATGAAAACTTGGACTGAAAAGTAAGCTCAGTCACAAAGCCAGCATGTACAAGAGACACTTCCACCCTCACCAGGAGAGCAGACACCCATCGCCATCCATGGTTCCATGTCAGACAGGCCAGCCGGGACTCAAATGTGGAGCTCAAGGGAGTCCTTAAGTTGCAATACAGACCCCAGCGACATTTCCTACCACCCAGGTTAATAAGTGGTATTGCCATCTGGTGTGATAGTACCAGCAGTTTCACAATATTATGATTCCCTTTTCTTTAAGCCTGAGCTCACAAAGCCATTATGGGAAAACAACATTTTCCATTTGGTGGAGTTTTTTCTGGAAAACAAAAAAAGCCCCAAACACCTCTAGCACAATCTACTGTTGTGAATACCTGAAGAAGTGAATTCCCAAAGAATAATAACCAAGAGGGAAATCAGAATAATTCTGCATTTATTCTTTAAGAAGAAATGACTGTCACGCGCTTGTCTTGTGATTTTTGAACAAATACAGGTGTCAGCACTTTATGATGAAGTTTGATATCCAAGCTGCACCACCCAGCATTCCTGTTCTTTTCAAGCATTAATCTGGCCTAACCCCAGTAAATTTTCAGGATTAAACACTTTCAGAGTGTTTAAAAGAATGAAAGACGGAAAGTGTTGATTTTCCGTTTGGAAAGGAAGGAGAGAGAGGAAGTGAAGAAAGAAGAGAAAATGGACATTTGAGATATTTAAATCTGGAAAGGATGTTGCAAAAGCCACAAAGTCTGGTGAATTTGGAAAAATTACTTTGGTTCAATTATCTAACAATATAGAAGGAAATGATTGCTTTTCAAAGTCTTGCTTATACTTTTTTAAGAAAATACCCAATGAAAATCACTGTATATGTAATTGGCCATTCCAGGGCTGGCACTCCAAGCAGCCTTGCACCCACCAACACATCAACTGAAGGACTGTTTAACTTCAGGATCAAATAAGCGTGGATTGCTGTGAAAAAAATTGGAAAAAAAAATTTTCTTGATTTGTAATTTAATTGCACTAATTTCTTCATTAGTCTGTTTCCACCAGTAGCATACCCAGAGTCTCCTGTAACATCAGGACTGATCGCTGTGAAAAACACAACCTCCAGAGAGGATTTTCTGCCACACTATCACAACACTACCAGGCAGGAAGCCAGGTTTCATGCAAATATTCTTAGCAAAAGCACAAGAACAAAGGGATTCTTTTTAATTAGAAATACGATCCATAAGCAGAACCGTTTCTGAACAATGTTTTAAAAAAATTCCTATGAGGTGTTGGCAGCATTTTGCAAGTCCCCTGTTATCACAGGCCCATCAACTGTCTTTTGATCTACTGTTTTGCAGTTTTTCCTGTAAAAGACTTCCACCTCAAATGCCCTTTGGGTTTAGCATTATGGCAGGTGGCGGCATTAGAAATCAAACCTATGACTATGTAGTTTATCTGATTACGGCTCCCTGCTACTTGCTAATAAATTAAAGTTTTTGCAGCTCTGCCAAGACTGTTTTGATTTTTCCAAGGTATTCTCTTCAGTTCTTCGATTTGAGAGGGAAACAGGTATTATTAAGACTGAAAAAAAACCCCTTAAAGTGGCCAGGTTTCATTGCCAGCCTCTCAAAATCATCAGAGTTTGATTTCAACCTTAACTTGACAATTGTGCTTCTTTCTTGCCCAGTCTGTTCTTTGAATCACTGTGAGTAAACAGATAAGCTTTATAAGTTGCACTTGGTAATCATGGAGTCAAACAGTTCACATCATTAACGATGCGATGAATATTCTATTTTATATACTGGCGGTCCTCTTGTAGATGAAATGTGGAGTCTAATGTAGGAGGTTAAAAATATGACTATTCATTATTTACTTCTTACAAAAAGAAACCACTGCTTTGAAGTATGATTGTAAATAAAAATACCAGCAAAAATCCAGCCTGCCCATTGCCTTCCCTGCAGGGATACTTGCTCTTTGTCCCATTCTGATCTCTTGCAAAGTTCTTGAGCGCTCTATGAACTCTTCCAGTGCACTTCCTTTAAATATTTTATTTTTTTACAATGCAAATCACTCCAGCTATTTCTGAAGATGCATTTGCAGTCGTACATCCCACTTTGCATCTGAGCGGGTGCCTTAGAGATCCTCGAGCCCATGACGGGGATAAAAATTACTTTTGCTGTTTATTCCCGTATTTATAGATGTTACAGAAATGCACTTAAACTTAATTCCATGTAGATGGAAACAAGTTGCTTTATGGTAGCAGTGAACTATTCTGCCACTCCTCTTCAAAACAGAAACAAAGAAATCTTCAGATCATGTCTATATAATAAACACAGTCTTATATATCTAAAGGCAAAGTTCCTTTAAGGTTGACCGAACTTATTTTCAATAAACATCTTCTCCTCACCCAAGGAGTATCTGAACTCTGTCTTGAAAGATAAGCTCGTTGTGGGGTGGCTGTGGATTCCAGGTTTAGAGTTTCATGGTATGCCACTGGCTCGTCATTCCGCGGTGCGACCAGTGAACAAGGTTTTCAGAGACGCGGGATAACAAATATGCATCTTTTCAGCTAAGAATTGCAATGAAGTGATGAAAACGGTTCCACAGGGAGGGAGGCCGGGACGGTTCCAGCACCGGAGGCTGTAAGGCCAACCTCCCTGGCAGGGAGCGGGGAAACGCCTGGCTAGAAAAGGCAGCACACGTCCCAAAAGCCGTGCATCGGAGCAGGCATGCCTACCTTGAGAGGACATGGCTGACTTCTGACACAAGCTATATGGCAGCTTTGCTTTGCATTGCTAGAGAGGTGAGAATTTTTGTTACAAGTACTAACATGTGAAACATTTTCAAGAAAGATACAAAAGATGTCTTGTGAAATACACACAGCTCTGCAGGGAGAAAAATAAAAATCAACCCTTCTCCTAGGGTTAGCAATATGATGTACTAACTTGTGTAGAAACAAGGAAGTAAATACTTTTGTTTTGATTAATGCTGTGGTTTTGACTTGAAAAAACATCTGCAAAATACCTCTTCTGGCATTGAAGGCTATATTACAATTGGAAATTTCTGCCATAAACCATTAGATCCTACGTGCGTTCAGCAGGGACTTGTTGACAGTCTAGTGACAAGGTATTATTTGTATGCAGAGATGTGCAATGGGTGGGTGGAAAGGGAATCACAGTACGGAGCTAGGAGGGGAGAACTGGAAAGTATGAAAGCGGATCTGACGGTAGCTGCAGATAAAAATGTACCAGCACCTTCCCGCTGACTGCAACAACACAGGTTTGCCCTGATGAACTTCCCATTTCAGGCACATGGAAACTGCATTGGGAAGAGCGAGGGAAGAGAGCAGAGAGGAAGAAAGCAAGAGGAGAAGGGTTGAGCATGTGTCTGGATAGCCTGTCTTTGAACAGAACTGTCCGTTTGAAGCAACAAAGGAGGCGATTGGAAGGACTATTTGTTATTTCCATCCAGTGTGAACGTCTCCTTTCTCTCCCTTCTCCCAAAATGACCAGTGCTGTATGTTAATAGCTGCCATTACATAACACTAATAAAACAAAGTTTTAAGTCAGATTAATGCCTACCAGCTCAGGTCTCGTCCTCAAGGCTGGCAGGCAGCTGTGACGAGATCCACTTCTGGATCTTCCCTCCTCCCCAGCATCTTGTCAGTCCCTCACATAGTCAAAGGTCCTGGTTTTCTTCAGCTTGTCACTACCAGAAGCAGTGTCAGCTGAAGCTCACGATGCTCCAAGCGTCTCTGCCACAAACTGCGGTTCCTATGGTTTGCCTTATGATACAACCCCTCACAGTACGGATTGGACCGTGGTCTGGCTTTGAGCCTCTGCTTTTCTGCAAGAGGCCCTAGGCCCTCTTTCAACCGCCAAACTGCACAGCGTCCTGCTAACGACCCTATCTGATCACTTCTTTAACGATGGTCTCAGAAGCCTACCTTTGTGAAGTTTTGTCTCGAATACATTTGGCACCTTTCCCTCGCCCCGAAGGCAAGGGAGCTCAGGACCTTGGGTGGCTTCAACCAGGTACTCCAGGCAAGGTACACATACTGCTAGGTGTAGGAGGACTCAAAGCATGCAAGCATTTAAAAGAAGAGGTGATATTCAATCATCAAGACCTTGGCATAAAAGACAGCAGAGATCAGGCAGGACACAGGTCCTGTGTGGATGCAGAGCCCTGCAGGACGACCGCAGAGGGCTAGCTTAGCAGTGTACAGCACAGGTATACCCACACCTTCAGCAAACTTACAATTTCCATCAGGAAAACAAAATACAAACATTCTTGTCGCTTAATATGTACAGAGAATTAAATTACTTACATTCCTACAACACAAGTGGGAAAAACAAGTAGTAACTCCTTCAACCTTCTGGAATAGATAAACATTGAAATATATTTCAAAGAATTCAGTGGCTTCAAGTTATCACAGAGATATGGGTCTGCATTCGTAATGCAAGAAACACTACATTTTGAATGGGCAAGTATATGGCTTTTTTTTTTGTGTGTGTGTGCATGTGTTGGTACAAACAAAGGTCAGGAGGTTCAGAGAAACAAGTCCAGAGTAGCTTTTTCTTTGGGGTTTACTGCTGAATTTTTCTTACAGTTCCTGTTAGTTTTGTGTTCGCTCTCAAACAAGATCTGTTTCTTTGTAGGAGAGCTTCCCCACGGCATCCCTAACAGTACATTCGGTGCTTCCATCTGCATTGCTTCCCCTGCTGCTCACTGATTTTCACAGTTGCTAACAGAATCGCAAAATACATTCAACCTTATGAAAGAAAGTCTTTTAGGGAAGTGTTTAAATTCCTTAGGTATCACTCCCTCCACTGGGTATAAACTGAGAAGCTACAAGAAGTCTTTTATAGCAACAAATAAAGAGAAATCAAGAACAAGCGTACTAGCTGGTGCTGATTGTTCATCGTTATGGCTCCCTGCATGCAGACTTCTTGTACAATGAAAGGCCAAAAGCTCCTTAGTCAGGAGATACTCCTGTCTGAGGATACTCATACCAAGACCCAAGAGTCCCAATTATAGACAAAAAGAGCTAAGTTAAAAGAACTTCGGGGTTGTGAAGTCAAGCACTCAGAAGTTAAAAAGCAATAGAATCAATGTACCCTGTGCAACCTTGTTTTGTCCCAATTGTGCATATGCATTATAATAAACTCTTTAATTATATTATCTATACTATCTTTTTCAGTGAGCCCTCTGCCTCATTAGTGGCAGAATCAGAATTTCAAAAAGATGACCTCCTGAAGGGAAGGGGGGCAATAGTACAGGGAACAGGCACAAAAATCTAGGGGGTTGGGGTTTTTTTTCAGAGCAATTGCAGTGTTCTGAAGTTTTTCTAAAATACTCTTCTTGGCAAACAGCTGCCTTGGAAAATTTCAGCCCAGAAAATTTAAGAAATCTGTAAGATCTGAATGTAGAACCTTATAGCAGTAAGTGTGGGAAAGTCTCTCAAATAAGCACTTCTACCAGTCTTCCCAGGAATGTCTTCTGTCTCACTCCAGCTAGTATCTTCCTAAAAAAATAAACAACTCAGGAACTACTCCATTTTTATGACTGTTTTTCATTTTTTATGACTTTTACCAGATTTATTATAAAAGCGAGTTTGTGGGATGACACAAGAGGTTCAGGTAAAACCCAGATCCTGAGCCAAACGAAACTGAACAAAGCCGGGCTAATGGTCTCAGACTTCAGGATCAAGACTGAAACACAAAGAACTAAGAGCACAGAAAAAGAGCTAGTCTGCGAATCGACTTTGTCATGGTTCTCCTGGAGGTTGCCCTACTTTCAGTTGCTAACAAAGAGGAGGATAAGGAAAAAATTCAAGTCACAGAGCTGCTACTTACCGAGCTAAACTTCTCCTTCAGGGGCCCATAGTCAGTCATCAGCTTGTTGTTTGTATTCACTTTCAGGACATCACCAGTTGATGTGCCAACATAAAAATAATTATCATCATCTGCCATCTATAGGAAAGCATGAAAAAGAGAGATCACGATCCAGAGAGTGAGACACTTGTCCCAAGCCTAGCACTGGGCTGCATAAATAGCTTTATTTCAGTGTATTGCCAAGATTTAATCTGAGGGGATATAGCCAATGTTTTCATCCTGTCACACTCAAAGATCCATTACACTGCTGAACGCAAGACACTTCCTAACCAAATCTAGACAATATTTCGAAGCAAAAGGGGGATTCTCTGAGTGCTGGAGCCTGTGACTAAAATCCATGCTGCTTCTCCTCAGAAGCATTCAAAACACTCTCCTCGCAGGATAAAGAAACTGTGGGAGACCATCTGCCATGAGCCAACACTTAGTAACTTCACTGCCATCATGCAGTTGTAATTGGCATTTCTAGCAGTACTATAAAAGCTCGTGGATTTTCTCTAGTCTGTTGAGAGTTTCTCAGTTTAGCCAAATCATTTTGGCTAAAACTTACCTTAGCACACGTGATCACTCTTCTCAGTTGCCCCGTCTGGCATTCAGTCGGGCGGATTTTCCTATTTGCTAGATCCAGTTCCCATACTCGAATGGTCCCACTGTAAGAAAGAATATAGTGGGATCAAATCCATATGTGCAGAAACACCCATGTTCTTTCACTACTCAATGAATTAAAAAGCCTTTACAAGGCTACGTTAGTCTGAAATTTTAATAAGGAGGGAAAAGAACAATATCAGAGAGTCTAGAAGTAAGTCTCTCTCTTTTCTGCTATCTCTCACAGCAACTTTTTCCAGGTAAATCAAAAATCTTAAAGGATCAGCAAACACATATACGAGGATTACGGAGCAGTATGCAACAACCTCGACACTTCATTTCCCAAAGAGACATGCGCTGTGGGAATCTTAGTTCCTAGAATGGGAAAAGAACGGCACAGGATGCTTTCAACTATTTTCTAGCACAATTTAATAGACAACATAAGAGCCAATCTTAAATCTTTACACACAGTTGCCCTTAGATTTAACAAAGAGTTAAAATTGCAAAGACAGCACTCATGGGTGCAACTGCAGCCAGGAGCATCTAAAGCCTTCCCTGATCTCAAGGGAGGGGCGGGTCCTGAGCATATTTAAATGTCAGGCTAGATATACGGGGGCTGTCTCAAATCCATGCAAAATGTGACTTTTTGTACCAACTTTTGTTACAAACCAGTGACCAATTGTACATCACATCTGGTGAGGACAGGAGATGATTCAATGACCTGCAAGATATCATTGTTTCTACATTAAGTAACCATTGTTCAGAGCCACTCGTCAACTGCTTTTCTTGTGTAAGCATTGGCAACTAAATATTTTCAGCACTGCACAGGGAATGTCGAGTACAAAATCCTGCTATCAGGAACAGAAGTGACGCATGCGGGTCCCTCTGTGCTGCTTTGAAAACATATCGTAATGTGTACAATAAGCAGAAATGCCTTAAAGGGACAAGCTGATGGATATTTGTGGGTCCATTCAGAGTGAAAACAAAAAACATGAGCGGACTCAGCTGCTTAAGTTTCCTTGTATTTAAGTAAAGACTCTTTGTAAAAGGAAATAGGTCCATGGGTTCTTTCCCTCATTTCTATTATCTAAATAAAACCTTACTTTCCAGCAGTAACAAACATCTCGTCTCTGCAGCTGGAGCACACCACGACGGTCGCACTCCCCGCGCTGCGTGCCGAGGCAGGGCTCCCACAGACAGCCTCTCTCTTACCGACATGCCACACGACCACACTGCAGGAGAAGGAGAGGCTTTAAATAGCTTCACTTTTTGACATTACTTAAAAACAAATTACTTAAAAACAAATGCAAGATGAAACCTATTTTCCTACAGTCTGTTCCCACCAGGATACACAATAAAAGTAACTTCGTAGAGACTGTACCCAAGAAAAACCTTATCACAAATGTGTGGAATTGCAGTTTACATCCCCTGCTCCTGAAGAACGTGTATTTGTCAGATTTCTTCTGCTGAGCAAGACTCAAATCATATCTTAGGCCACTCATAGAATTTGATATAAAACAACTTTTCATTCCACTTGTCTGTGCATCAAAGCAACCCCTCAGTGAAATATATGCTTCTTCAGGGCAGTGCACGAAGCTAGGTAACTGTGCAGGCTCCGTAAGGTTTCTGGGCGATGACACCAGCTTGACAATTAGCTGATCCCTTCATCATTGCCCTTACGCTGCGATCTGCCCAGGGATCCCACCCGGCTTCCCATTGCCAGAGCTGGATCGTTGAGGAGAGAGATCAACAGGGGAAAGAGGGAACAGCGAGTCCTCCCTAAGAGCGCTCTTCGATGCCCAACAACTTGGTGGAAATCGTGTGCCAAGAGGTGGAAATCGTTACCTGCCGTCGTCCTGGCCTCCCAGTGACACGAGATAAAGGCTGTTTGGAGAAAATGCTAATCCTTCGATTTTGCCCTTGTGAAGTGACAGCCGAGCAAGTAACTCCTTTCCCTGGAAATCCCACAGAATGATTTCTGCCTGAGGTGCAAAGCAGAAGGGGTCAAAGCCAAAGCATTAGATATAACACACAGAATTCGGCAGAAAAACTTTCTCTAGCAGAAAAGCTGTCTGAAGGAGCCCAGCCCGAGGTTAGCTTCTGTCCAGCCCAGGGCTCCCCTGACACAAAACGGCTTCAGATTAGGTGCTGTAAGAAACATTACTCCAGCTTACCAGTTGAGTAGCTTTACTTAATTTGAGAATAAAAATTTACCCTGAGACACTGGGTATTTGACTTAGATTTTAAAATACTGAAAACACTAGTACTTGACTCATTCCAGTGTCTCAGGGTCTTTTCAAATAGGCAAAAATTAAACCATAAAGAACTTTAGAGGTGTTAAAATGCAGGTAGGCACCTGTCAAGGGCTTTTGAAAGCCCTAAATAGTTCTGGAACTCAGGTACCACTTTAAATACAACACCATTTATTATTTAATGTCTAATGAGATTTAGGCTGCCACATGGGCACAACGCTTTGGATAAAAAGGACCTGAATTAAGAGACCCCTCAATCTGGTTATGCCAGGCCTAGGGGGAAAGCTTAACACTTTACAAAAACATAAAGGCACATCCAGCAATGGAGTAGCCACAATTTCCCATTCTCTGCAACATCCTCCCACTGTAGGCATTTGTTTTCCAACAAAAGAAAAAATAAACGAAAGGTCTTCCCACCACTAGCAAGCCAACTCTTATTTCTTTGGTCAATATTACACAGTTAAAAATAGAGCATTATCCACCTTGAAGCCCATAAAAGTGACTTGTCCAGAAGCAACGTACACCCCATTCCTGGACACGACGAGGCAGGAGACATTATTGGTGTGGCCGTGCAAGAAAGTCTGTTTCTTACTGTCCAGCTCTTGAATAACCACAGTACATCCCAGGGGATAGAGAACGTGCTCCTTATCGGGGTGGCAGATCAGGCCACAGGGTATATGCCCTGCAAGAGAAAGGAGTGAAAGATCTGCTGGCTGTTAGCGGGTCTGGGGGCTGCAGGCAAATTCTCTTCCCCTGCCCGAAGCAGGCAGTCCCAAGAGCAGGCGGACCTCTCCCCAACACCTCCACACCAGAGGCCTCGCTTATCGCACTCCCTAAGGGGAAACCGCTTGTTCCCCAAGTTTTATCTCACGAGGAGAGCAAAACCAAGAGCGTTCCAGTTCCCCCCAAAGCCATTTAGCAGAACAACCTTGTATAAAAGTCCAGGGTCACCCTTACACGTTTTGGACCGCGCTGTGCTTGCTACAGCTACAAGAAGATTTAAGAGACCCAGAGGTCTGAGCCCTTCAACACAGAGTTCTCCAGGAGCACCTGCTGATTTATGGAGGCCACACCACCAGTCCATGTTGCCATGACCTGCCTCAAAATAGCTGCAAAGCCACAAATTTCCTGAGAAGGTAGTTGGCTGAAGAAGCCCTGGTGCCTAGCCCCCAGCCCCACAGGAGTGTTTATGGCAGGATTTTGTGCAGCCTCTGTTGTTTTTATTTTGAAATGAAACCTTTCGCATTCTAGTAAGCTGAGTAATTAGGAAAAAAAAAAAATCCTACAATTCAGTCAAACTTTTCCTGTTCGTAACTTCGCATCCGTCTCTTGGGATGCCGGCCCCAGGATGCCGTGCATGAGGAGGGCGAGGAGGCGGCCAGGGAGGCAGGAGGGACCCTGCGCACCCCCTGCTCCCCCC